CTGCTAGACGAAGATCCGTAAACGATGCAGGTGACGGGGGCGCCGTTCTTGATGGCTGAATGGTTAACTAACTAGCTGCAACTCCTTTCCATCAGATCCCGAAGGAAGCGGCCCAGTGCCCAGGGCCCAGGCATTATCAGGTGCCATCTCATGTTTGCGACGCTCAGGAAAGATGCCAAAATACTGCAACGAAATCGAATGCTCCAGGCCGGCTCTTGTCTGGAAATACGGACAATGCGATATATAGGATATATATATATAGGCAGGGGGGCGAACTCGTTCGCCCCCACCCAGTGCTTTCTGTCCATGTAAGGGGCAATAATGTCAACCGCTGACAATTGCCACTGATAAAAAAGAAAAGGGGGAAGGGGGGAAACACATGCTATGATGCCAGCGGCTAGGTAGTGCTCATCCACTCGCCCCAACCAGCTCTGGCAGATATTAAGAATGAAGAAAAAAGGTAGTTAGTTAATACAGGAAAGAGAGAATGAACTAACTATACGCAAAATGTTGATCACACTAACTTAGTGAGGCTGGCGATGCTGCAACCGCCTACTGGCTAGTTAAGTTAACTGGTTTAGGGGCCTTGGTCCCCCTTGGCGACGGCTAATGACGGTGATCAGCCCCGCGGACAGAGCACAGAGAAGACCTGCCCGCCGATCGAGGCCTGGGCTTGTAAGTATGTAGCTCTCATACTGGAAATGCTCTTTTCCGTTAAAACGTACTTCGGATAGGAGAAGAAGAGGAGGAGAGACACGTATTTTTAACTGCTTATTGTAGCTGTCATGAGAGAGAGCTACAAGTTTGGATTTCTGAGCGCACTGCGGGGTACACACAGCATCTCTTACGTCTCTTACGTCTCTACGGATTATGCCTGCTCGCGAAGCAGGCATGTTCTTGCAGTGACAGTGGCCCAACAGATTCTAGACACTGATCTAAATATATTCCTGTTTTTAAAAGTATCAGGAACGAACTCTACAGACTGAGAACACCATTTGTTACAATAACAGCTGTCACAAAACATAAAAATTATCTTTACATGTATAATATAAATTTGCCTTGAAGTGGATTTCTGACTGTCATCTACATAAAGTATAGACTATTTATGTATCTATCACATAATATCTCTAGAATATCAGACATAAAGGTTGTAAATTCACACAGAAAACTCATGACTCTTTCATAAAAGCAATCTCTTCAGCAATTAGAATAAGAGTAAAAGAAAGAAAGAAATGAAGATCTATAGACAGAAAGAAAGTTAATTTAATAAGATATAAAATGTGTTAATCTGTGTAACACTATACAAGTTTTATTTTTATTTTTATTTTTAATTTTTTTGACATTTTTTATGTTCTATATATAGTTACTGCTCTATTTTAAGAGATTTTGCAATCTGAATTGAAATAGTAAGATATCAGACAACAGTCTAAAAAGTCATACAGATAAAATTGTTGTGCATTTGCAGAAAAATTGAAAGACTGTCTGTCTGTCTGTAACTTAACATATTAAAAATAAATGTGAAATATTAAATCTTCATTCTAAACACACAAAAATAACTTTGAAATACAATGTTCGAATTCAACAGTATCTGCAACTTTGATACAATCTGTATCACTTTATAAAATGATGTATTCTATACTTGTTGATATTATTCTGATATGCAAGGCTCTCTCTTATCTCAAATCAAGAAATGTAAATATAATACACATTAGCGAGGATTATTTAACCAGGTTTTGAAAGATAAATAATTACTAAAAATTACTAAATTATTAGACTGAGCAATTGATGATGTCATACAACTCAGTGTCAAAAAAAAAAACTTCACCAGATCACTGACATGAAATGAAAATCCGGGGAAAGCTGCATCACCCCTTGCAGATCTGATGAGTTTGGCAGCCAGAAATTACCAACCATTAAAAAGAAGAAGCAGAAACAAACCAGTGACTTTAAAAAGGAGGCGAAAAAAAAAAAAAAAAAATCAAGATTATCATATAAATGCATGGAGTTTTATTTTTGAGGGAGTGAAAAAGAAATATATTTGAAACTTGTGCAGCATTTTGATCCCAGGTTAATTGAAGATCATGATTCATCTCGGCTCTCAAGGCGAGATTTGCCCATACTTCTTTAGGCCCGCATCTCCCCTCTACTGTCAAGGATAATGGAGCCGGGCTGTGTCAGAGCACAAAAATGAAGAGGTATAAAGAAGAGTAGGCATCATCAAGTTTGTGCGGCCTTGTATCGATCTGATTCGGGATTTTTGAGAATCTGACTGGGAGAGGGGTGGCTCAAAGCGCACACACTGACGATGGTGAAATGGGCTAGCCATAACTAAGTGAGCTCAGGGAACATGAATTTGAAAACCTCTGTGAAACGATGATGGAGAGAGTTGCTTCTCTGCCTGGTTATATCTATTATGCAAGGTTAGCAAAATACATGATATCAATTGAAAAAGAGCTGGGCTGAGCAGGCGTGTTTTAATGAACAAGAATCGCAGCCAGCTAAATCAAGAGATCTTATTCACCCAATGCTATGTATGTACATGTACATGTACTTACTCCCTGATAAAAAAAATATAACACACAGCTTGATTGTACCCCTACTTGAGCAAGTTAATGAATGATGCGAAGAAAAAAACTGGAAACCAGGTCCAAGACAAGACATCCACAAACTATTTCCCTGTATCCCTTACTGTCTGAATGTGCACTGTACGACGGTCAGGTATGTACAGATGCAGGTACCTACCTACCTTGTACGCCCACACACCTACACAGAATCACAGACACACACACACACACACACACATGGGAGTAAGTAACACAGTACCTGGATGTTCCAGGCTCCTTTTACATCTGCAAAATCATGTTTTGAGGACAGTATGTATGTGTGTTGTGTGTACGAAAACATAACTATGCCATTTTCTTCTGGGGGTTTAAAAAGCCGCGATGTCTGCATTCAGATATGCTTAGTTTCACCCCGCCCGCCGCAAACGCGCGACAACATCTAGGCCCTTGCACTTTCTCCTGCGGGATTAAATCCGCCCCTCAGCCTGCAACTGCGAGACTAATAATAATATTAGCCATGAAGTGGTACTTGATACATTAATATATTATTAGTAGGTTGGCGGTGTATTCGTTAACTAGTTAGTGAGAAAGGGATAACTACTATTAGTAGTCAGCTGAGACGCTGCGCAAACTCGAAAATCATGGCAGTCCCGATTGATTGCAACTTCTAACAGTACGAACAGGGGTAATCTCAAATTTTTGACTGCTCCGTACTGTACTAGTTTGTTCATTATTGGAAGAGATGAGAAAAAGAAAGATATATCTTTTCGCTTTTGCTTTCTTCCGCCCCGGTTGTTATCAAGCCTCATGACCTTGACCTTCGGGACCAAGGACTGACTATTCGTGCATAACACAGCGTACAGCGGGTTGACGAGGCCAATTAAATTCTCAGAAAATGCACTGAACGACCAATTGAACAAAAAGCGCAGATGAAAGATAGAAAAGAAGAAGAAAAAGAAAAAATAGAAATTACCTAGGTGCTATCATCAGATGACTCCTGCCTGTGCAGAACAAATAAACATTATTATTATTGCATCTGCATTCTGCATGCAGAGATCAGCGCGATGAAGTTACAGGCAGTTAACTAATGGCAACCAATCAGTGAAAAAAAAAAGAAAAGAAATAATAGAAATAACTTAGTTACCCGCCGCCCCCAATTCCATCCATCCTGCAAAAGAAAGAAAAGGCATGTGCAGAATCTAAGTTTCTTGATAGTTCAACTTAGCTTTATCTTGCTTTTATGACTTTCTGATAATCTGTGAGTAGAGTTTATGGTTTGATCATATTTCTAGTTCAACTCTCAACTCCAATTACTAGCAGAATGTCTGGGGTAGGCGAGTTGAAAAATGAGAGACAGAGGATGTTTCAATCTACAGAACCTCTCAACCCCCATGATTTCTTCTTTGTCATTATTGGGGGAGTTAACATTTTGAAGAATGAAAAACAACAATGCTGGGGTGGAACTTATCCTCAACAAACAACAGCTCAGTTAGCGCCAGGGCGGCAAGAGAGGGAAACATTTATCACATTATTCCAGCAGCTCATGGTTAGGTAGGTGTTTGTTGGGATTTATGAAATAGCAACATGAAGTAGTTATAATTATTAATATTGGTTTTACAAGCCCTTCTCCAACCCCTATCTGTCAACCAGATTAACTTCATATCCAACATGCCGAGTCCGACGCCAGTGACTTGCATCCCAACCACTTTGTCATTGGTTCCTGGAGCGTGAAATCAGAAAGAAAATTGGCGAGAATAAAAATACGAACGGAAAGGACGAAAATGCTAAAACACGATAATTGTTATTTGTACACATGAGCGAAAGCCGACAGATGAGGTGGGACATTATTGTAAGGAAATGAAAATACCCCACAGTCAACAGTCGTACGGACCGTAGTTAGTTAGTTACCCTACCTAGAGTACCGTACCTGGGGCACTTGGGTACGGGGGTAAGTTACATGGTGAAAACAGGTTTCGAATTTGAAAACCCCCTGTTGCATGAAATACCCAGGAATAAATGATGTAATTAACAATAACAAGAAGGACGAGGGCGGAAGTCCAGTTGCAGTACAACAAGGCTGGCTGACTCTTGATGCTGTGACTTAAGAAGCGCAACGTGTGGTGCAAATGAGTTTAGATTATTGAACAGTTTGGAGAAGGATTATGAGGGTCAGTTGTGAGGCCGTCTTTTCTCTTGATTTAAGGCTTGGTTAGTTAGCCCTGATGTAACTAGTTAGTCTATAACTATATAGGCAGCGTGGGAGAGTTTGGGGATTTGCAATTTTGGTGAACAACACTACAAAGTAGAACTCTACGGTGATATGATAGTAATAAATGTTATCATCTTCTTCAGAACAGCATGTAACTGGCGCGGATCCATCTCCTCACGAAAATGAAAACGATGAAAAGAAAGGGGTTCCCCGATGTATTGAACTTTAAAAAAAAAAAAAGGAAAAAAGAAAAAGAAAAAAAAACCAAAAAGCCCGTCCCCGCAATCGAAGGCCTAATATAGCGACGGAGCTCGCCGACAAGAGTCAATATCAGAGGGATACATAGTACAAAAACGAAGAGAGCAACGTGCCACAGCATACAATAATGCATCTGGAAGCCTCAGCCCCGTCCATATAACCTTCCAAAACGCTTAGTTAGACATAGCTATATAACCATCCTCTTTATGAAGTTATAAACTTGGCCTCTTATTACGCGGCCCAACGTACAGTGTACATATCAAAACAAATCATCTCCCATAGCAGGACTTTCGCGATTCTAGAGAACCACTCCTACAACAAACGCATAACCACATATCCCTTATACCAGTAGTCCGTACACACAAAATGAAACCGGTGAAATGAAAGACAACTAAAACTATAACATACAAATTGTAGTCATGTATGGTATGTAGTGTATTTACACCTCAAATGAGAAAAACCAACCCCAAGTCCCTGCATCCTGCTCGTCTGGAATAATGAAACGCGTATCACGCACAGCATCTGCAATCCGGGGTACATGCATACCTGCACAACAGCATCAGTCCCTCAATCCTCATTGCTCTGCCTCTGTCCCCGTCCCCCGGTTTCACACTCCCTCATTCATTTTCATTATTGATTCAAAGCCCTCTCCATCCCCACTGGTCACCTGTGCGTACGCGGGCAACTGTTATTATATCTGTCACGTATGCAGGGTAGGCCACAGGTGAGAAAACAAAACAATGAAAAGCAGGCTGCAGGGTCTGCGGGCGGGAAGGGAAGTTGAGTACGGGAAAGGCGAAAACAATAAGGTTAATCCAACCCTAATCAACCCCCGCCCTCCTTTTCTTTTTCTTTTTTCTTTT